AAGTTTTGGGCAAATGTGAAAGTCTGGACCATGCATGATTATGTCTACCTATGATGTGGGTAGAGGGGAAAGAATAATGAAAAGAATCCCTGGATAATCCTCATTCGATTCGGCTCTTTGGTTTTGAATAAAATTTAGTTTATTTATGTGCGATCATTAATACCCAACTAATAATTTATACTCTATTTCTAGAATACATACTACCTGGGGATCGACAGAGGTCGATACCCAGTATATTTTCTGAAACCTCCACTGGTTAGGCAATCGCTCTCTGTGCACCAGGCACCAGGCTGTGTGCGGACTCTAAGGCCTTGTTTAATCCTCAGCAAGTCTCCGTGGCAGGGACTAATGCCTTCTGTTTCCAGGAGAGGAAATAGCAGCTTAGGAAGGCTACGAGTCAGCCCAAGGCGGCCACATCATAAGAGCAAAGCCCAAGGTGTCTGCCTCCATCGACTTGGGTTTTAATCCCTGTTCTCAACCTGGGGTGGTTTTTCTCCAGGGGACATCTGGGGAGAGAGGTGCTACTGGCATGTAGTGGGTGTGGGCTGTGGATGCTGCTGAGCACCCCACGATGCACCCACCTCCAGAGCAAAAGACTTCCCATCCCCAACTGCCCTCCCATGTTTACTGAGCCTCCCATGTTACAACAGCCAAGATATGAGACCAACGGAGCTATCCATTGATGGATGAATGGATGAGGAAAATGTGGTTTATATCCATGATGGAAGGCTATTCAGCCAGAAAAAAAGAATGAAAAGTCCTGTCGTTTGTGGCAATGTGGATGGAACTGGAGGATATTGTTTTAAGTGAGATAAGCCAGGCAAATACTCCATGTTCTCAGTCAGTTGTGGAAGCTAAAGATGTAGAGCAGGATGGTGGTCATGGGAGGCTGGGAAGGTAGGGAGATGAGGGACTCGAGAAGAGAAACACCCACATGCAGTTAGCTAGGAGGAACTGGCCCTAGTGTTTTGAAGCACAGGGGGGTAAAATGGAAATACTAATTATCCTGATTTGATCATTATACATTGTGGACATGTATTAAATTATTACACTATATGTACCCCATACACAGGTACAAATGTTCTGTGTTAATTAAAAAAAATTTTTAAAGAATAATTGAGTCTCCAATTTTACTTGTGGGGACATTGAGAAACTTGGCTTTTAACCACTTCCTGGCATGGGTGAGGGTCCCCCCAGTCCCCGGCTTCCCCCTTCTGATTGAGGATGGAGAGAAATGGGTCCTTCCCCAGCTCCCTGGTGATATGCAGGAGCACTTGTTCTTCCTTAGGCTCTGAATTAAGGACCCAGTCCTAAAAGAAGGAGGATATGTTAAAGGAGCACTGTGAGAAAAGGGACTTTTATTGGGGACCAGGCTCTGGACTTTAAACCCACTCTATTATTTATCCTTCGAAACAACCCTTAGCCTTAAAGGAAATCAGCGTTACCACCCCTCATCCTCCTCTCTTTAAATCTGTGAGGAAACTGAGGCTCAGAAAGGTTAACATGCTTGGGTCACATGGCTGCAAGATGGCACCTGGATGGGTCTCTTGGATTCCAGGCCCCACTGTACATACTTGATCCATCTGTTAGGGAAATAAGGAAAGCTGTGCTGATGGTAAAGTGGGGACCTGAAAATAGAGCATTAAATAACCCTCCTGCTTTTTAATTAAAAGGGTTGCCTTTTATATCCCATAAGGTTCTCACTGCACACCACAGAAAGTCTGGAGTGGTATATAGGGTGAGGGGGTGTTGGGGATAATGGGACTTTTTTTTTTACAGTTCTCAAGGAACATTTATTGTCCATGATCTCATTTGATCTCCTCAACCGTCCTGGGAGGCTGTTGGAGGACACATGTCCTCATTTTATACCTGGAAAAACTGGCCCTTGGAGGGGGGTAAGACTGGGCCAGGGTCCTCAGTGGAACCAGCCCACCCTGAGGTCGCTCCCTGCAGTTCCTTGCTCGGTTGCAGATGCTGACCTTCTTTGCTCACAAGCCTGGGGGAGCTCAAGTGAACCCTGACTCACTAAGGGTTAAGCCACATAAACTCTTTTATGAGTGGTAACCATTTAAAGTGCCCTGTAAAACAGGGCCCCTCACCACGCTGCTGCTTTCCCTTGGAAAGTGGGGCTGGCGTGGAGCAGGGTCTGTGCCCACAGGTCAGGTCAGCCTTGGGGGTGGGGGTGGCAACAGGGCGGCTCTGACCCTATAGTTCTGAAGGCTTTTCTGTGAGGTAGGTGTAGTTCTGGATGCTTCCAGAAGCTTATGGTGAGAAATGCCACCTACTCTGAAGACAGGAGCCTGTGGGCATCAGGCTAGAAGCTGAGAACTGACTTGAGACACTTAGTTAATTCTTTTTTTTTTTTTTTCTAATTACCTGACAAGTTCTCTACATAACCAGCTTGTGTGCTTGTCTGGTTACATTTTGAATATGTTCTCACTTTTTTTCAAGCAGGAAAAGTGAGGATCAGAAGGTTTTGGGCTAGACAGATTGGAACACAGGGTCATCTGTAGTTAGCAGGGACCTGGATTCTAAGCCTGCATCTCCTGACTCTGTAGCTGTTGCCGGGGTGCTTTGCCCCCTATACAGCCTGCCTTCTGCTGGTTAGGAAGCAGTGAATATACCCTGAGCTGGCTGAGGACGTGGCTCACAGATGACCTGGGCAGGTCTTGCTCCTGCTGAAATGGCCACTTGGAAACGGCCCTGCAGGTGAATCCTCATGAAAGAATTTCAGGGAAGTCTCCCCCCACCTGGAAGGCCAGTGGATCCCTGCAAATGGGCGGGGCTGGGAGCTCCGGCTCTTTCAGGGTTAAACAGTAACCTTTCCGCTGCTTGTGGTTGAGCAAATGCTGCCAAGGAGTAAGCCCAGCCTTGAGCAAACAACAGCCAGGGCCCTGTGCCCCTCCCTCCCTCCCCCCAGCCACCCCTTCTGGGGACTTGAAGGTTTTCTTTTGCCTTGAAGTCCCCAGACTGATTTTTTCACCTTTAGGGCAATTGGTCTAGAAAGTGGGGTGAGAAAATGCCCAGTTATTGTAAAAAATAAAAAATAAAAATAAAAGAAAAAGAAAGAGGAAGGTTTGGCCTGAGTTGGTTTTCCTTCTCTGAAGGTGAGCATCAAAGAGTTTTCTAGAAAGAACTTAAGAATTGGTATAGTCATCTTATTGAAATTTCCAGATGGGGAAACAGGCCCAGCGTTGTTTCTGGTTCAGGTTATCCAGAGAGGTAGTGACTCTCCGCATCATAACACCTCTCCTACTTAATAGTGGCCTACTTCTGTGCCAAGTGCTTGAGGTACAGAAACTCATTTGTTCTCCAACCAATGTCCAGGTTAGATAGAATCATCTGCACTTTACCTATGAGGAAACTGGGGTTCAGGGAAGTTAGGAAATTTGTGTGAAGTAGTGCTAATATGAGCTAGTAGGAGGGAGAGGTGGAATCAACTCCACATCTCCTGGGTTGACTCAAAACTCTTCTCAGACATAGAAGCCAGCTCCCCTGTCGTCTTCCCACCCCGTGGTCCCTTTGAATTACAATACCCATCATTCCTGGCTTATCTTTCTGTCTCCACCTTCCACTTAGGCTGGATTCAAGCCTAATTATTTATCAAGTAACAAAGATGATGATGCTAATAATCGTCACAAGTGTTTGCGTGCAGCCTAGTTCAACCCTTAATCAATGCTCTGTCCCTGGTGCCTAGGACAGTGAGTGCCCAGCTCTTCACTGATTTGATAAATATTTGTTGAATCAATGAATACATGAACACATCTTTCTGCTTTGTCCAGGCCCCTTTTCTACCCTCCCCCACCCCCACCCCCACCCCCGAAGGCCCTACATCAAAGCAGAGGAGTGAAGTTCAATTGGGGCCTGGGGATGGCAAGGCTAGAAAGACCCTGGGTCCACAACTCCAATCTGAGGATGCAAAGTTTCCCCCAAACCATCAGAAACATTTCCATGATGTGAAGTAATCAACTCCTGTCCCCACCTCAACGTTTTCTAAAGAGCAAGTGACTTTTACAGCCTCTGGGAGTGCTCAATAACTTTCTGGAAACAGCCTGCTCTTCCTTTGAATGATTGCACACACCCTGGGGCTTTGGTCTGTGATGGGGAGGGTGCCCAACTTTGGGGCAGGGATGTCACAAATGCAGGACAATTGAAGGAAATATTTTTAAAGTATAAAATTCTTACATGGTTTAAAGGCCCATGGAGGAAAACTCTTTTCCTGGGTCCTTTAACTGAGAAAATGAGTCCATGGGCTTAGGAAGTCACCCTGAGGTCGGCTTGAAAGCCTATTGAATTCTCCAGATCTCTAACAGGAGAAGAGCAAGTCAGAACATCTACCAGAGAGAAGGGAAAAAAATAATGTTCTTTACCAGAAATGGGCTGTACCTATTAGATAAACCAAATGATTTCCGATATTATCTCAAAGGCAAAATATTTAAGGATCTCTACTAAAATATGACGGAGGCCCTTGGACCTCAGCAGGTATCTGTACTAAGGCAATGAACATTTCTGGGTCCCCAGGTGCAGGCTGCTTAGGTGTGTGGGGACCTGCGAATGTCCGGTTGCAGACAGAGTTCCTGCATAGGTGCTGGGTCTGAAATTTCACCGATTGAAATTCAGCTTTAAATAAAATCTCTTAAGGCTCTTTTGGAGCATTTCCACTCTTCAAAAAAAAAAAAAAAAAAAAAAAAAAACCTTGGATGCTGTCCAGACTTGCCCTGGGAGCAGGTATTGCTTTTCCTCCTGTTTCATTCCTGATCAGAGATTATTCATTTATGAATGGGTGGCTGTAAAAACTTGCCTCATGCATATGAAAATTGAACCTGGAAATTTTTAATTGCCATGAGTTTTGCTTTTACAGAAAGGGCTGTGGCAGTGGGTGGGAGGACACATTCTTTCCTTTTTTTCTTTTTCTTCCTAAATTAACTCTCTGATCTGCACCTTCCAATGACATTTGTCCAAGAGTCACTGTCTGAATGGGCTCTCTGCTCCCCTTACAGATCATGATTCTGGAAGGAAGTGGTGTAATGAATCTCAACCCCAGCAATAGCCTCCTCCACCAGCAGCCGGCCTGGACAGACAGCTACCCCATGTGCAATGGTAAGGGGCCATGTGGGTTTGGGGGTCACTGCTCAAGGGCATTCTCCTTTTGCTTGAATCCCCCAACCTGATATTTGAAAACTGCAGATTTCCTTCAGCAGAGGCCATGGGGAACAGAAGGAATGGAGAAAACCCTTTTTGTGTGTGATGTATTGGGGATGGAATCCAGGCCCTTCTGCATGCTAAGCTTGCACTCTCCCATCCCCAGCCCTGAGAAAACTCTTAATACTGCAGTTCTCTGTAGGTTCTCAGAGCTCCAGAGAAAAGCGCATTTGAGATATTCCACTGTCTCCTCCCAGAATGCAGGGTTCCAGGTTGGCAGCCTGGCAGTGATGGTGCTAGAAGAACTGCCCAAAGGGAAGACTCCTTGTTGAAGTTCAACAGTGTTTGGTTGGGATAGCAAGATAGGAAGGGGGAAGTGTGTGTGTGTGTAGTGGGAGAAGCATGGAGGTCAGGGATGAGGGGATTATAGCGGTTTGTCTTTTAGTTCACCTTCCAGTCGCCTTGCTGATTAAGGGGAGAGAAATTGCTTAGGAACCAGGTGCCCTCCTTTAGTGATTTAGTCTAGCACACATTGATTGACAGAGGGAGAACCTGATGGTTAGGCTGGTAGAGGGTGTGGTGGTCAAGCCTGTGGCTTACCGTGGAATCTGGACAGAACATACCTGCTGAATGAAAGACCTCACATCCTGCAGTACGGGCGTTCAGTTGAGGCAGGCCATGGGGCAGCCAGAGGTGCTGGACTTATGAGGCTCTGGGGCTTAACCCACCCCATACCTGTTGCTAATCTCCCCACCAGAGGCTCTGCGGCTGGTTTGCCTTGGAACATGGACAGAGCCTGTCCGTAAAGCGTAGTCTGAGAAGCGGGAGTGGGAAGGTAATGGGGAGGGAGTGACAGTCTCTCAGAAGCAGCTGGTCCATGTGGAGCTCCACCTCTTTTAATTTGGAATCCCAGCCAAACATGTTAGAAAGCACCAACAGGTGTCCTTCTGGTTTGATGGCTAGTCCCACCAAACTGCTGCCTTTCCTGGCAGTGATACTTTTTTCTGTTGCAGGGTTTAGATCCCCTGTGGGGACCTGGAAGAAAGGTCCCAAATATGACATCTCCAGGTCCCTGGATCCTTGATTAGGACAGAATGTCCTCCCGTTTGCTTGGGAGAAAACTGGAGCAATGTTTGAACAGGGTGTAGAATTTGGGGATTGCTTTTTATTTCTTAAGCTCCAGAGACTCCAAGGAGGATTGAAAGAGAGAGGAAGAAGGAGACAGCTGAGTGACAGGGAAGATCAGAACTCAATGGATTTTCAGTTTTTCTCCTGAAATTCAGGAATCTGATGAATTCTCTGGTTGTCTATGTATCTTCCCAGACAACTTCAGACAAAATTCTTGGATTCTCTCAAGTTTGAACAGGATGCAATTTTAGCCTTCTTCTTTACACTAGACCCTATTAAGTTTGCAGAAGAGATTATTCCAGGTCTGTCACTGGGTGATTGAAAATTGTTGCTTTTGTTGGCAAATCCAATCCTGTGCTGTGAGAGCCACACAATTATTTTAGGGGGGAAAAAAAGGTCATATGTTTAGAGAGCTACAAAAAATATATATCCTATCCTTAAACAACTGAGTTTGTGAGACACCAAAATAATTGGGGAACAAGAAAACATCTGGTCTAAATTCTCTGTTTTTGTACATTTGGGAAGAGTTCTATATAACCAAATTTTTGGACTAGAATTTTTCCCATCTTCACTCTTACCCCCATGGTTGGCCTCCTGTTTAGGGCCCAAGCTGAGGGTCTAGCTCTGCATTTGTTTGGCTGTGAAACATGAGGAGTGAAGCTCATCTTGGAGGTGGCAGATATTACCAATGTTAGTTACCTTGTGCCCTAAATGATCTTGACCTTCTGCTCTTGTTGCTTCAGAGATCAGAAAACAAAGGGTGAATTCTGAGCAGGATGAGAAAAAGTGGGATTGAGTTGGAACATTCCCCCTTTGGTTTGTCCTCTGGGGGGTGCTGGGGGTAGGCCATGGTTGTTACAGAGATCAAGCCTTTTGGAGCACTGTGTCACCTTGTCATTACACAGACCAGCAGCAGCAGCAGCAGCATGGGGAAGTTTGTTAAGATGCAGAAACTCAGGCCTTACCCCAGATCGACTGAATGAGAATCTGCATTTGAGCAGAGTTCCCCATGATTCGTGATCACATTAAATTTTGAGAAGGGCCAGGTGCAGTGGCCCACACCTGTAATCCCAACAGCTGGGGAGGCTGAGGCAGGAGGATCCTGAGTTCAAAGCCAGTCTCAGCAAAAGTGAGGTGCTAAGCAACTCAGTGAGACTCTGTCTATAAACAAAATACAATAGGACTGGGGATATGGCTCAGTGGCCAAGTGTCCTGAGAAAAAAAAAAAAAAAAAAAAAAAAAAAGTGAGAAGGATTGATCCACATGGCTTTGAAGGAACAGTTAGAGCAGTTTCTTTACAAATGCCTTTTTCTTTATTAGTTCATGTCTTGAGTTCGTGTCATTGTCAGTTGGATTTCCCCTTCTTCATATTAGAGAGATATAATAGCATCTGTCCCTGGCTGCTGCCCTTCCTTGCTTTTCTTGAAAGAGGTAGCCTCCTCTTTGCCTCCATTTTCAAGAGGACCATACAATCTCTCAGCCCTGTAACATGGCCCCGGAGCTGGCTCTCTGTTCTCCAACCCCCAAAAACTTTGGGTCAACTACGTGATGTTCTCTTAAGTGAGCAGGACAGAGTTACATACCTAGATGTTTAGCACATGACAGGCTCAGCCATATTTATTGACCTGAATGAACTTCACTGCTTCACTGTATCTGGACTAGTCATCTTTACCTATACCTGACATTGCTTCCAATTCCTACATTATTTCTTCTTCTGGCAAAAATCCCACTGAATAAATATATAGTGAACATTTTCTATGGAAAGGGGTCTGAGGCAGTTTTCATGGGAGATATGAATTGGGGAGAGCAGAGTTCATGACCTTGGGCGTACAGTTTACAAAGAGGACTAAGACAGAACTTAGAGAACTATGAAGAAGAGCAGAACGTGACAAATGCCATTTAGCGAAACACCAAGCATGTCTCCTGGAGGCCCAGAGGACAGTGAGCCCCTGATGCAAGTTGCAGGGACACTGATGGCTTTGTGGGTGATCAGAGTTTCAAAGATGGGAATCCAACAGGAATAAGAGTAGAATGCAAAGGGGACTGAAAGAATGGTACAGAAAAAAAATGAGAGTCAAAGGTCTCTTGAAAAGTAGTGAAGATCCTCAATGCCTGGCTTGCTAGTTTTATACCTAAGTACGGTGGAAACTGGAGGTAATTGAGGGTAACTGAGCAGGGAAGTAACATGACAGCAGCTACTGTAACCAGTGTGAGGCAATAAAGATGTCAGCACATTAGCAGATAAATGATGGGGACCACTTGTGGGAGAAGCAAAGGCATCATAGAGAAAAGAACCTTAACTTCTAGCTTCATTGATGGTTTAAAATGGTCTGGGGTTGGAGGTGTATTTGTACATGCCTGTATGAATGTATGCAAGAGAAAAAAGGTGGGGGGACTATAGTTGGCCCTCTAAATCTGAGGGTTCTGCATTTGCAGATTCAACTAACCTTAGATTAAAAATGTGTCTTTACTGAATATATACAGACTTGTCTTCTCGTTTCCTAGGGAACATGCTATAACAATTATTTATGTAGTATTTATGTTGTATGATGGATTCTAAGTAATCTAGAGATGACTTAAAATATGTGGGAGGAATTGTGTAGGTCGTCTGCAAATATCATAGCATTTTATATGAGGGATTGGAGTATCCATTAGGAGCCCTGGCACCAATTTCCCAGGGATACAGAGAGACAGAAGTGTGTGGATAATAAGCTAATAAGTTGCTGAAACTATAGCAATGTTTAAACTTTTGTAGCATTTTTGGGGGTGGGTGGGGAGTGAGCTCAGAGCATTTGAGGTCTCATATTCTTATCTACATGAAGTCACAGAGGCTAAATGATCGCCCCGCCACAGTTGGGAAGAACCACATTTTGCAAGCCTCCTGTGCAGAACCCATTGCATGTTCCGACGCCCTCGCTGATGCACAAGGGCTTGGGTCATGTTCCCAAGACATCTGCCAGCCAGCATCCCTGTGTCTGAGCCTGTGCCCTGGAGCAACCAGGGGCCACTCACAGGGCCACCTCTTGTTTTTCAGTATCCAGTGGGTTTTTCGGAGGCCAGTGGCATGAAATCCATCCTCAGTACTGGACCAAGTACCAGGTGTGGGAGTGGCTTCAGCACCTGCTGGACACCAACCAGCTGGATGCCAGTTGCATCCCGTTCCAGGAGTTCGACATCAATGGAGAGCACCTCTGCAGCATGAGCTTGCAGGAGTTCACCCGGGCGGCGGGCACCGCGGGGCAACTGCTCTACAGCAACCTGCAGCATCTCAAGTGGAATGGTGACTACCCCTCTTCCTACCCTGCTGGGAGGCAGCTGGGAAGCGCAGGGGCTCCGCGGCTGGCTGGGCTCTTGTGGAGACAACAAAGCATGGTCTCACCTCCAAACTGTCATTTCCCAAGACAGGAAATTAGACGGGAGGTGAGAGGACAGGAGTGAAGCCTAGGGTACAAATCATGTCTAATCCCTTCTAAACATGATGTAATTTAATTCTCTCCTTATATTAATTTTCAGGGAGACAAGGGTTGGCTGGGTGCTCATGGAATACTTACTACCCCTAGACAAACTTTTCTTTTACCTTTTTTAAACAGAGGTCAGCAGTTTAGTTACCAACTATTTGCTTGTTAAAGATGATCACGATTACTTAACAAACCAAGAAATAAAAACCCTTTTACTTGAGTTCTTAAAATAGGGGCCTAGAATAGTAAGAAGATATATGAAATGAGATCTGCATGTTTGGGAGGAGAGAAGTTTCACTGTATTTCAGCAGATTCTTAAAAATTCTGTAACATAAAAGAAAAAAAAGAATGAAAAAAAGTTAGAATGAATTATTTCTGCAATGATGCTGCCCTACAGCCTCAAGTGTCTCTCCCAATGTCATCTTGCACACCGAGAGGCCACCACTCCAAAAGCTACCCACTGGTGGTGGCTTGTCCACACACGCATATTCTACACTGACTTGTAAGACCCAGCAGGACAGACAACTCCTCTTGCAGAATGCTTTGACACTGGCATGAAGTTCTTCTAATAGTGGCTGTAAAAAACCAGCCCCTCTGAGAACTGGGACATGTTGCATTGATTACTAAAAGCTAGTGATCTGGCCCGTCCACACGGGAAAGAGTACTTATGTCTTAGGAGAACCTGTATTTGCAAGTTATTAGGGCTCAGGAAATGTGAGTTCCAGAACTTGAGGCAGAGGCAGACCCTGACAGCTGCCATCCACACTGAGCGCAGCCCGAGTCCAGCTGTGCGGCTGGCAGCTGGGGCAGCCGGCAGCTGGGGCGGCCATTGCGGATGACCTCATCCCGGGCCCCGGCACTCCCTTCTTCTCACCCACCTCATGGCGCTGGTTGCTCATGTTTCTTTTACTAGAATCAAACCAAACAAGGCTCTATAAATAACCCCCAGGAGTCTTCAGAAAGAGCAGGCTTATAATTGAAGAATTAAAAATATTTACCTCCCCACCTCCAATTAAGTCCACTCCTTTAAAGCTTTGCTCTGATTGAAGCCTGAGGCAGGGAGACCTGGGAGGTGTTGTGGCCACCTTTGACCTTCCGTCTTTGACCTTCTGTGACTTGCTTGGTCTCCCACAGGCTGCTGTCACTTCTGAGAGCCTAATGGACAGATGTCTCCCCCTTGTTTTGTTGTTTGCTTTTTTGCAGATGTTTTACTTACTTACATTTATTGAGTATTTATTTATATTAGGCACTCATCGAGTGACCTTAGGACAAACTAAATATTGTAGCCATATTTTAGATGGGAAATCTGAAGGTCAGAGAAGTTAGAGGCTTGACCTGTACTCCTGAGATAGTCATAATCTATCTGGAGAGGAGAAAAATTCTAGATTCACCTGCATGTATGTGTGCTTTTATATACCGTGTAGCATGAGAGGGGTTTCAAACAAACACAGGACTAGGTGGTGGGCCCCACTTGTCCACATGCTGAAGGCATAAACAAGGGAAAATTCACTGCATTTTATCCAGATGAATTGAAGAATCAAGCTGGTTAAATCAAAATGACTTGATCTATATTCTCCTTTCCATTTCATGTCATATCTTAGTATGGGAAAATATCTTAGAGGTCATCGATGGACTCTATCTAGTAAAATTCCCTAAATTCATGATGAGAAACCTGAGACCCAAAGAAGTGAATGCCTTCCACCTGGGAATGGAAAAACTGGTCTTCTGACTTCTGAAATTCTAGGTCCACCATACTAGATGTCTTCTCTCTACAATGCCAAATAATTCAATTAGATAATGGGTGACCTAGGCTGATGATTTATGGGGCTAGGGACAGACTCCAGACTGGAGTGTGTAGAGGCCGAGAGGGAAGCCCCCTACCATGAGCAAACCTAGGTGGTCAGGCAGGAAAACGGCAGAAGCTCTTCAGAGAAGCCAGCCTGTCCTTATTTAAGCATCAAGTTTTGGCTTCATCTGGGTCCCCTCTGACTTTAGCATTCTGTCCTTCACAGGCCAGTGCAGCAGTGACCTGTTCCAGTCCACACACAATGTCATTGTCAAGACTGAACAGACCGGTGAGTGGCAGGAGATTCCGGGAGCCAAGTTGGCTAGACAAAGCCCTGGGAAGAAAAATGGGGAGGGAACACCGGAGAGAGCGTGGGAGGAGGTGTAGGCAGGAGACCCAGAGAAGCCACTTTCCTGCCTGTCTCCAGTGGACCACCCTTCCAGGAGCCTCATATCCGTGCCCTGGGACCAGCGATCACCCACGCTTTCTGGGCCTCCTTTCTGCCCAGACTTCTCTGCTTCCTTCTGCAGGTCAGCCTGGTAGCTGGGAGAGGGCAGATTCTAAGATGGGCTTCCTCCCCAGAAAAAGAGTAAGGGGATTAGACTTGGAAAATTCAGAAAAGCAAGGCGAGGAAAGAGGAAGGGTCAATGTCTCCTCTTCTCCCCCTCCTCCCTAAATGGGAGTCTGTTCACCAGGAAGGGTTGGAGGGATTGCTGAGTTGGCATTGTGGTTAGTGTAGTTTCTGTCCCTAGGGAGCTTCCCTGGGGACGGCCAAAGGCACTGTGGAGCCCAGCTCCTGCCTTAACGACATTTTCACAGGAGAGATGCCCTGGGCTCTGAGCAGAGTCTACAGTCCTCTAATATCCATGTTCATTTTGGTCCCCTTTCCTCTGTCCTAAATCTCTCTCCCAGAGCTTTCCCCACAGTCTGCCACCATGATAAAACAGTGCAGGTGCCACTGCTCCCAGGTCACTCCCTATGTCCACATCAGGGAGATTGCGAGCCACGTGGGCTGACCAAGTTTGACACAGGCCTCCCTGAGGGTTGCGTGCTAGTCACCAAGGACAGAATTTGACCTGGGGGTGATTTGTGAGTCACTTGGCACCAAAATTAGCCCATGCAGTTATTTACTCTTTTATAAGGGGACTGGTCTACCATTATTAAAGAAAAAAAACAATAGCTGCTAAGCATGTTAATTAGGCCTCCTTAGCCCTGCCCTCTCTCTACAGACTAGGGGAGGGGTTCCCGAATGGCCTGTGCTTTATAGGTCTGCCCTAGCCCCAGAGATGACGCAGGGTGTGGCTAAGAAGATCCCTTGCAAATGCACTCGACCCTACTGATGACCCCTCTAGAGGAGACAGGGTATATTGGAGACGTCCCAAGAACTTGGCCACCCCTCCCTGGCCACCCAGCCATTCTTGTGCTGCCAGTTCAGAAAAGCTGAGCTGAAGGGTGGAGAAGGTCCACCCTGGGAGGAGGGGATGAGAGGCTCCTGGAGGGGCCAACACCCCCAAACATCTTTGGTTCAGTTTGTTTTCAGAGACAACAACAGGTGTATGAGGTGACCCAACAAGGAGAGAGGGTGTAACCCCAAGAGATTGGGCTTGGGGTGCCCAAACACGTAGCTATTAGTTCAAACACCAGCTAAATCCCTATGTCGTAAACAGGAGGACTTAGCCAGTGAGTCAGGTTTTATACCATTTATGCTATAAAAACAAAATGAAACTCTGCCAGTGGCTTACCACCCCAGCCCTACAACTCAGAACCTGGCCAGGAGGGGAGTGGAGGGCAGCCTGCAAATGCAGGGAAAGGAAATCAGGAAACTTGGGTGGGTGGGGAGAATAAGGGGAAGAATCTTGACCAACTTCGAAAGGGAATGCTTGTGTTGAAGACCAGCCTGGTTATGGGGGCTGGGTGGGAGCTGGGCTTCATCTGGGGCAAGGAGAGGAGAGTTTCCTTCGAATAGGAACTCTGGAGAATATTCGGAGAGAGATGCTCTTCCCTGGCGTGCAGGAGAAGGACAGGTTGCTGGGCAGCCCTTCTTCTTTTTTTTTTTAAACATCATGTCACCACTTAAGCTAACTGGAGAGACCTAAAGGAAGTCGGTTGACACCTAATGTGAAGGGGATTCTCTCTGGATTTTAGTCATGAAGAGACCCTGATAAGGCTGATCAGACCTTTACTGAAAGACACATTCACCCAGGAAGATATCCACAGGAAAAAATGAGCTCACTGCTCACTTATTATACATTTATTTGTCCCGAACCAGGCTTTCCCTCCTCCCCAGGGTAAAAATATTCTGGGGATTATATAGTAGAGTGTAAGACTAAGCCAGGGGAGGCTGGAAATAGTCTAAGGAAATCAGAGCGTTGGTCAAGGACAGGTGTGGATCACATGGAGGGCACCCTAGCAAGGCTGTTCACATATGGCGCCCGATGAACTGTGGGATGGCATCATTTAAAAAGCGATGTGTAGCTGAAGCACACTGTTGCCTTTTTCTTGGGGGGATACCCTTCTTCCCATGCCTCTCTGAAGGACAGTGACTTGGAAGGGGCAGGTTCTTCACCCTGGGAATAAGGGTTGTTGATCTTCCCCCATTTTCTATTCTTTCTAGACCCTTCCATCATGAACACTTGGAAAGAAGAAAACTATTTATACGACACCAACTATGGTAGCACAGTAGGTAACTAACTCCCCAACACGGAAGGCCCTTTGACATTCTTAGTTTGATGGTCCAGTGGCCACACTGTGGTGTTGTAAGAAGGGGGGTATTAATGCCCTTTATTTTTTCATTGCTGCAGACTTGTTGGACAGCAAAACTTTCTGCAGGGCCCAGATCTCCATGACAACCACTGGTCACCTTCCTGTTGGTAAGTTCTCCTGACATCGGAGGCTGGACATGCAAGTGCTAACAGAGAATTAGTGAGAATGACCAACATCCTCCATTTCCACTTTGCTGGAGTCTTGCTCGTGAAAAGGCTGAGAAAGGAATTGAGTGGGCTTTTATAAAGGCAGATCTGCTTTTGAGGCAATTTGCATGCATTGAAGAGGACCAGTAGGGATTCCTATAGGAAAAATGTTTGTCTTCCGTGACACCAGTCACTCATATGACAACAAAAGTTGTTCATGCTTTTCTCCATTTTTAACATAAATCTGCTCTTGGGATATATCTGATAAAATTATTTATATTTATGAGAGAGAAAGCTATGATTAATTCTCAACTACATTTGAACATTCTTTTCAAACTGCAGCTGGCTTTAGGGGAAGAATATCTAACCATGGTATCCAGAGTCCTTTGAATTTGTGGTGGTGGTCTCTGTGTGGAGGAAATTTCCAGAATCCCAATGATCATCCGTTTTTCTCAGTTTTTTAGTTTCACCCTGCAGTTCTCTGTGATATGTCAGAGCCCTGTCAATTATGTTCACATTGGTTGTATTTGGTTAAGATTGGATGCAATGGGGTTTATCTATGTCTCCTAGACAAGGTATACCAAGTGAGAGGGTTGGCATGTGGGGATTCTGGAAGAAGGGCTTTCAGATGACAACCCCCCCACATATAGGTACATTAGCATGTACAGAGTATGAATCAGTTGAACAAAAGATATTTTGCTGTCTCTTGACCTGGGGACAAGCTTCTGCATATCTTTGGGTCTATAAAATATAGAGTTTGGACATCAGTTGCAAGATAAGTGCCCTCCTGCAAGAATTGAATTTGGGTTAACTTCATGACTGGGATTTAGTTGCTTTGTGAAAGAAAGCATGAAATTAAACAACAAACCTTACTCTTTTTTTCCCCCTTCTTTTGTTGAGTGTGTATTTTTGAGAACTGAAATAACGAAAGCTTTTGGTCTGAGGTTTTATTCGGGTCAAACCCCTTGAGTGAGACAGGGCCGGGAGCCAGTATAAATGCTTCTGGAACTGAGGTTGAGAATTGAAGCCAATTCATTTCTCTACTTCCTCTCCCTCCAACAGCCCTTAGCATTATGTGTCACTCGAAGTTATTTGTTGAAATTAGGAAGTCAGAGCAAACACGGGAAGGCGGGCAGCGCATGTGCCACTCTGGAGGAGCAGCCCGTGGGGGTGCAGTCTCTGTGGCAATCGCTGCCACCCAGTCAAGACTAAGGGCTTCAGGCTGAGGACACCACCCCAGTCACCCTTGGGTTTCCTCTCAAACTTCCCGAGGTGGCACCTTCCACGTCCTTCCGGTTGGGTCTTTGACTTATGGCAAGAGATTCCAACTAAGAATAAAGTTGAACCAACCACTTCCCACGCCTCAGGGGTTGTCAGGTCGCAGGGCTTCTGGGAAACCTGAGAGCCACAATCTCAGCTCTGCTGCCTCGCAGCCCCGTCCTCCTTCCCCTTTTGTGACTCTGCTCTCTGCTTCTAGAACCTCAGAGCCAACAGGGGCTGGGGGCCAGTTTGTGTTTGCACTTTTGCCGTCATAGGAAATGTGCCACCTCTTGAGCCACCTGTTATATTTTTGGATACTTCTTCTTAAAACGGGTTTTATGAATCTGCTCTCCCTCACCTCCCTGATCCCTGTCCCCAGCCCTGCCCCCCACCTATTCTGCTGTTATAATAGGCTAGACAGTGAGATGAACAGACAAAAACCTCTCTCCGAATTGCTACCTAAAGAATCCATTCAGTGTCTGCAGCTGGCACTCTTAGGAAGAATAGCCCTCCAAGTAGGTTATTAAGCCCAATTTTGCACAGATCAGTTCTTTCAGAAGAGTTTGGTCTCTGCTGGATGGATCCAGAACCGCCCCCCCCCCCCAACCCTAAGACCTCTGCCATGGGCAGAGTCTGTATCTTTCCAGCTGCCATGCAATCCAGTGCAGCTACAGATCTCTCTGCGTCTGAATGCAAGTCACTAGCTGAGCCAAGGCGAGGCTCCCTGTAAACTGATGGCCTCTGTGATAAAGGCAGGTGGGGAAGCAAGCAGGCTTTGTTTTGATTTCTGTGTCATCTGCCATTTCATAAAATGGCCGCCGCCAGTGTTCTGATCCGCCCGATAATCCTGCAGCCAGCCATGCCAACCCGGGCTTGATGTGTTTATCTACTGACTTGTCGAGCCTGGAGCTAGGGTGGCATGGTCTATTAGAACGCTGAAATTTGTATATCCCGTAAAGAAATGGCTCACCGCTGAATCATATGCAAATGCCCCTAATCTCTGCCTCTTGCGAAGCAGCGAAGCTCAAGTCATGTTCTCACACTGGCATCATAAACGGGTGGCTGGTGGCTGCCCCTGCCTGGACCCGACGGACCTTGCCCCGGAGTGCCTGGGAGGGGAGCCGAGAGAAAGCCAGGCTGGACAGCCTCCCCAGAGCAAGCCATTATTTTATTACTGTGAATCACTTAACCACATGGCTAACTTCAAAGGCCTTGACTTTTATTTTGCGCCACTGGGGAGGACCCAGGGGGAGAGGCTGGTGGTATGGAGGAGGTACATCAAACGATCGGGGTGCTGAGGTGGCTCAGAGATCTCCCCCATGGCCCCTGCATATTGGAACAGCAAGAGGGGACTGGAAGAAATTCGATTTTTCTTTTGCCTTGGGCTGCTTATTCCTCCCTGTGAGTCCAGAATGACCTCGAAGGCTTTGTGTCAGTCATCCCTGTGAGGAAGGGAACAATTTTATTAGTTTTTGTTTGTTTCTTTTTTAATCTTTCCTAAGCTGGATGGAGGCCTAGCCTGGGTACATGGCTGACATCTCCAACAGAAAAATTTCCTCGTGGTTTATCTCACCTGGGGCTTTTTAATCTAGAGTCCACAAACTCTGAAGAGGGCCACAGACCTCTGAAATGATTGACCAAATTCCATAACTGTACACGTATGTGCATATTTTTTTTTCTTTTTTTTTCCTGAGGAGAGTGTCCAGGGTTTTCTTCCTATTCACAAAGGTAACTCAGGCCTGAGTAATTGATTGGGCGTCAGGTCGTAACTCACAGTGATTGAGGAGAGTACAAGGAGAGACACTTGGGTTTTTCTGGGTTCAACCCTGGCTCTGAAATAATAGCCTTGCATCCCTCCTGGATGCCATTTGAAAGAGAGCTCTGCTTGTGGCCTGTTGGGTAAATGCCACTCTTTGTCTACAGGACAACGTGGCCCTGTCAGAGTGATGTATCACTTGGAAACCGGGGTGGGTGCCAGACCTGTTGAATGTTGTCACATCCTGATGGGATGTTGCAACCTGGCCCTGCAGCCTGCAGGGAGGGAGAGTGAAGTCTCCTGTGTTTCCCGAGAATTGATCTTTCTCGATTTCAGAGAAACCCAAGTCAGGTGCAGACCCTCCTGGGGACAACACCTGGAGAGAGGTTCTCAACCACAGTGAGAAGGTTTTCTTCTTCTCCGCTTTTATTCGATCCCTGTTCTCTGTCCTGCCCTGGATTTTGGAGAACCTGCTAGGAACACTGGGTCCTCACAACCCGGGTGATCAGATAGATGGATGGGCCTGTGTGCCCTGGGAAATATGGAATCCCTAGATTGGAATTATATTCTCAACTAATAGAGGCGTTATAAAAGTGAATCTGACTCTTGGCAGGATAGACTTTGAGAAATCTGTTGTGTGCCAAAATAGGTTGTCATCTGTGGAAATGGCTCAGAACAGAGCTTATGAGTAAAACCTCTGGATTCAATCTGTTGTGTTCACAGCCTGACTCCGCTTTCAGGCTGTGTGACTACACACACGTCATTTGAACTCTCTGTTTCTCAGAGCCTCCATAGCTGTAAATTCTGGACTAGGATAGTGCCTCACAGGGTACTCATAATAGTACTCAGAGTTACTGTAAGAATCACCTAAAGTGATTCATATAACTTAGTACAGTGACAGTGACAGGTACAAAGAAAGTACCCCCAAAACAGTATCCATTGTCTTTTTAACCATTCTAATTAGGAGCTAGTCTGGGTCCATGAACTCTTTTTGAATACTGGACCACTTTTTTTGTACCAGGGATTGTACCCACGAACGCTTAACCACTGAGTCACATCTCCATCCCTTTTCGTTTTCAATTTAGAGACAGGGTCTCACTGAGTTGCTTAGGGCTTTGCTAAATTGCTGAGTCTGGGTAATCCTCCTGCCTCAGCCTCCTGAGCTGCTGGGATTACAGGCGTGCACCATGGCACCCAGCAAACACTAGACTACCCTTGACAAAAAAAAAAAAAAAGAATGCTATGGACTCCTTTCCTTTATGTGCAGTTTTAGTCCAGAATGACCTCGAAGGCTTCATGTGGGTCAGTGAACCCTAGGTTAGGAAGCCCAGATGAAATATGCACTGAAGAGACTTTTCTGGCCGAGGAGTGACTTGTGTTTAGGTCCCTTTGTTTGTCTGTCTGTCTTTGTCTGTCAGTCTGTCTCTGTCTTTTTCATACACAGGCACACAGCTTGAGCGTTTGTTTTTCACTTTCTTTTTAATTGACATAATGGTTGAACATACTTCTGGGGTACCGTACGCTAATTTGATGCCTGTGCACAAGGTACAATATCAAATCGGGGTAAGCAGCATTTCCTTCTCCTTAAACTTTTCTCGTTGCTTGGTGTTTGGAAACATCACACCTTTATCTTCGAGTTCTTTACAAAGTATGTCGTCAATTGCTGTGGACTGTAGTCAGCCCCCTGTGCTTGGTGGGGAGAGGCACAGGAACTGTACCCTCCTCCCTGACTACATCTTGCTCCCTGTCTGTCCTGGTCCTTGTCCTTCCCACTTCCTAGACCCTGGTGGTCAATATTCTACCCTCTGCCTCCCACGTTCTACATATGACAGAGAACGTGCAATATTGGCTGTTTTATTTATTTTTCTAAGAATTTTTACTTCATAGATCCGCCTCTGCCTCCTCCTCTTTGGTGACAATTGAAGAGTTGCCATAATGAGTCACTGGTTAAACTAACCTGTGTTTCCCTAGTCCACGGTGGCCCTCTGTACTGAGTTCAGGCCACTCAATGGCCCCTTTGTCAGGGTGATTAAAATGTAACTTTGCACGCCAAAAAAAAAAAAAAAATGGCACTCCTCTAGCTTAAAAGCCATTTTTCTTTGTTAGGAATGTTTACATTTTTGTATGACGTGAAAAAAAAAAATCTTTCTAGTGACCTAAATCTATTTTCTCTCAGAGCAAAGTTCTTAAAAAGTCCTAAAAAGTCACTAATGACTGGGAACTCGGCTCCTGCAGCTCTCCTCCTTTCTCTCGGCTACACTGTCTTCCTTCTTCGTGCACATCAGCCTCAGGACTTTTGCACTTACTGTACTCGTCCATGGAAGGCTCCTCCACAAGCTCTGGGCACCTCCCTCGGGTTTCTTTACCAGAAAGGTTTTCTGTGTCCTCCTTGATATGAAAGTACAAATGATTCCCACCTCCATGCTTCTAGCCCAATTTTTTACCCTGCATCATTTTTCTCTATAGTGTTTATCATCTGTTTCACTAGCTACCATATAATCAAACAGTGCAAGTCTTGCAGGAGGTGCTCAGTCAGTACTGGTTCAATGAGTACAGGCATGAATGAAAAGGATAACTGGAGACACAGGTAAACTAAAAATCTCTCGTTTTTCTCCCGAGCAGACTCGCCTGACATGAAGAAGGAGCCAGAGCACCCTACAAAGTCCCACACCAAGAAGCACAGTGAGTGCTGGCCTGTCTCTTAGCCCTTCCCTTCTCGTTGCACTAACCAGAAGCCACTAGGTCTTAGCAAACATTGCCTCCACCCGCTGTCTCCGGGTCTTCACCTCCAGCTGGGCTGAGAGAGAAAACGGAGACACCACTTACTGGCTAAGAACTCTCAGTGCAGTGCTCCTCAAAGTGGGGCCTGCGGCCATTTCCAGTTTATTCTAAAACTGTATTCATGGAATAAGAACTTCTTGCAGGCAAGGGGTTAGCCATGTCCCTCCCTCCCTGGAAAAGATGAGGAGAGATGGCTGAGAGGTAGCCTCCTTCTCTGGCTGGATGCTGACACCCGCCCTCGTGGAGTTATTGTTCGAAGAGAAGAGGCTGATTATTCAGGAGACTTAACACTGCTCTTTGGAATTGGATTTCCCCCAATCACAAAACCTTATGAACACAGTGAGCTATCAGAGACACAGAACTGAGGGGGGCTTAGGGAGAAAAGAACACCATAGAATCTTTTTTTACAAGGAATCGCTGTCTCTTTACCATTTGCTATTCCAGGCCATGCCATAAGAATGGTCTTACGTGGTCCCTCCAATGGCACACTGGAGGGAGGTGTCACAAATCCAGTGGGAGGAAAACTGAATTTGGTTGCTCATCTCCTTTCAGTAGCTGCTTCATTTTCAAGAGCCCTCCCCCCACTCCTGTATATATAATGTTATATTTAATTTTGTATTTTGTGAAAAATACCTAACATATTCCCCCACCCCAGTATATTCTAAGAGTTAAAATTCTGGAGCCTTCTCTGCTTTGCATTTGGCTGTAGCACAGTTCCTGGGGTGGAGCCATTTAATTGGAAGAGGTACTGGATAAGAGGTTGAAGTCACTCTCTGGGGAAGAAGTGACTAGTTGAAGTGAAGGCCAAGCCATCTGTGCAAAACTGGAAGAAACTCCCCCAGCCAAGGAGACCTAACACCTATTTCTTAGCCTTGGCTTTGCCCATAGTTGACTGTGTGACCTTGGTCAACTCACTTAAATTTTCTGTGCCTCAGTTTCCCAATTTGTAACTAAAAATGTGCTCATTGTTCATTTTTTTTGCAGGGGGAGGGTATCAAGGATTGAACTCCTGGGCACTCGACCACTGAGCCACATCCCCAGCCCTTTTTTTATATTTTATTAGAGACACTGAGTTGCTAAGGGCCTCGCTAAGTTGCTGAGGCTGGCTTTGAATTTACAGTCCTCCTGCCTCAGCCTCCCAAGTCACTGGGATTACAGGCATGCGCCCCCTGTTCCCAGCTCATTGTTCATTTTTTATGTCCAGTATTTGGTGGTGGGGTGACCCTTCCTCCCCAGGAGCATTGAGTCTCTCCTGCTTAAAAAAGGAAGTGGGACTCAGTGCTCCTTCTGCTGTCCTTGTGCTGTGATGTCCCTGAGGCCATTCTTCAGCCCCCATCTCCTCTCCTCCCCAGACCCCAGAGGAACTCACTTATGGGAATTCATTCGCGACATCCTCCTGAATCCAGACAAGAACCCGGGGTTGATTAAGTGGGAAGACCGGTCTGAGGGCATCTTCAGGTTCTTGAAATCAGAGGCCGTGGCTCAGCTCTGGGGCAAAAAGAAGAACAACAGCAGCATGACCTACGAGAAGCTCAGCAGGGCCATGAGGTGAGGAGTTGTCTGTCTCCCAAATTGATGGGGCCACAGGACCCATCCCCTCCCCGACAGCCTTAGTCTGAATGGCTGCCTCATGGGGTGTCCTTGGTTACAGATACTACTACAAGAGAGAAATTCTGGAACGGGTGGACGGACGAAGGCTGGTATATAAATTTGGGAAGAATGCTCGTGGTTGGAGAGAAAATGAAAACTGAGCATCGGCCCCCAAGCACAATCCAAAACACACCCGGAATGACTCATAGCCAGCCAAGGACTCCTGGACGTAAATATTTCAAAGACTATTTTTCTCTGATATTTATGTACCACGAGTGGAAAAAAATATATATATATATATCTACTTCGAACGGGAAGAAGGAACACTACGGTTGATAAAAGATTATTTTGTTACTTTGAAGTATGTCCTATATGGGGAACCAATGTACACAGTTTTCTGTGAAATACGACGCTGTATGTGGTTGTGATTTCTTTTTGCCTCTATTGTGAAGTTCTTTCCTGCCACGAGAATAACAAGGGGTGTAGCCTTGCGCTTCTTGCTGAGAGAAAGAAAAATCAAAGGGCATTAAATGTTTTCAGGTGTGTGCAAAATGATTTAGGTAAAAGGTGAGGAGTCTTCCACACATCAGCATCCACAGGACCTTGCCAAGAGAGGTGGATATGGCTGTCAGGATGAAGTCCAGGGTCTCAGAAGGACAGGATAAACCAGAAGGATGCCAGGAAGTTTAACCTGTTAGGGCCCAGTGAGCAGAGATTGGAGACTCCCAAAATCCAGGGTGGGCTGCAATCACTTAGGATCACCTGACTTGGAATGTCTCTGGGCAAGAAGAATAATGGTGAAGGGTTTTATACTCATTCAGGAATGATTTACCTATTCCCCCTTTCCCTCAGATGGTTGGTGAAGAAATGTCAATTGCTACATCTGTTCACTTCTAGTTACTTAAGAGAGAGAGGCAAGTCTTGGTTATTTTTATTCTAGATGATTAAAAATAGAAAAATGGGAAAAAGGAGGTGTTGGTAGGAAAATGACTAAGGCGTTTGCTCTTGGGTCTCTGTAGTTCTCAATTGGCACAGTTAACATTTCAGGCGGGATCATGCTTTGTGAGAAGGGCTCTCCTGTGCGTTGCAAGATGTATAGAAGAATTCCTTACCTCTACCCCATAGATACCAATAGCAGTCCTCAGCTATGACAACTCAAAATGTCCCCAGACATCACCAGATGTCCCCCAGAGGAACACATTGACCCCCTCATTGAGAACCACTGATTTAGCCAGCCAAGATGAAGACGGTGATTTATTCTCAGAACAAAAAGATTTGTTAAGTTCTTTTAGTTCCTAAAATGAAAGCAAGTCTCTAAAATTAACTTATCTTTATGTTTTAAACTGTTAGGGATAAGGAATTGAAATATTGAGAGGAATTTCTTTTCAGAACTCCAGATGAGAGCCAAAGTCAGATGAATAAAATGTCATAATGCAGGAAAAGCTATAATACTACACCCGTGCACTGGAATTTTAAAGCAGAGTAAAAAATTATAATGCAAAAGGAAATGTGTGTGTGTGTGTGTGTGTGTGTGTGTGTGTGAAAAAGAGAAAGAGAGAGAGAGATCTTTAGGGAAAGCCCTCTTTGTAGGCATCTTTCTTATAATCTTTCTTATTTTGGATCATCTCTTTCCTGTCTCCTCTGAACTCATCCCAAAGTGAAAGGATTATTGCATAGATTTGCATTCACAGAAATGTTATAAAAGAAAAAGAGAGGAAGCATGGAAGAGATAAACATAAAGTGCAGCTCAGGAGCAAGGAGTTGGAAACGACTTCCATCAAGGGATTATTCTGGAATACTTGAAGATAGATTTTGGATCATGCAAGCTGGGAGAGATATGAGTCTGTAGGTACCTTGAAAATGGATCAGAACCAGATTCTTTTTGCAATTTTTCTTTTTGACCCCCTCATGCCCTTGACTTTCTCCTTTGCTCTGCCTCTATCATGAGCAATGGGACAGGAATGAAGATATGCATCTATAGGAGTGACCTTTAGCAACAAATAGAGCCCCTGTCATTGTGTCCTTCCTGACCAGGGAGCTGAGCAGTTCATACCGAAGGGTTGCTAAGTGCTTATAATGTATTCAAAGATCTAGATGTAAGAAGAATTAATATCCTAATTATAATGAGGACCATTAAGCATGGTGACCTTGGAACACCCTTGAGTGACCTTCTGAAGGGACAACCGAGTTCATTTCATTTCTGCCTGACTTGGTCACCTGTACAAAGGTTTTACTTTGTGTTACAAGTGAAAGTTACTGAAGGGGCTGAGAAAAATAATAATGGAACAGCAAGGACCTTGACTGTGCAACCCAGATCTTACTGCACAAAAGACACACCTTGTTTTTCAAGGCTGAAGAACCACGGGGCCTTCCCAGCATTTGGCTATAAATTGCACAGAATGAATTAGACATCCGGGTTTTTGAAGTGGTGTAATACATTAATATTTGTGTGTCTGTGCATGTCTGAATTGTGTGGAATTATTAGGGGCATCTGCCAATTCTCTCTGCTATTCCTTTCCTGGCTTTGCTCCTCATTGAAGGTGTCTAGATCCCTCTCTGAGTTCATCCTTCCTCATATCTGTAAATTCCTCCCAATGGGCTTTGGTTCTTTGTGCGACTTTTCCATTAAAGAGCAATCTTTGTCTGGGGAGTAGCAACTGGAGCAGTTCTGCAGATAAATAGCAGATTGTGTTATTTGTCGAAAGTGACAGTTTCTTGGCACCCAGTGCCTGTCTAAATAGGCTGAAGTATTAAGTTCTCGGCATATCGCTATTGTCTCAGCTTGACTTTGCTGCCTTTTCTATGTGCTGTTCGTGACTTGGAGAACTTAAGGTAACCGAGTCCTGCCAATTTGGGGTGTGAACAGAGTATTTCCCACTGTAATGTTGAAAGATACAGCCAAGTCCTGTAGAGAAGCTCCCCTTTCTTTGGGGGCCAAGCAGCTTCTCACTGGAGGAGCTCATCTGTGATGGATGTCCACCTGGGCACTAAACATGGTCTCTTGGAACCCTCTGTAAGCCAAGGGCTCTTGCCCTCTCAGTAGGTATTAAGTCAGGCAATACACTGCTTAGTCTTCCTAAGACTTAGATCATCCTAGGCGCCTCTTTGACTTGATAAAACTTGAGCAAGGCCCGTGGCTCTCAGGGACATCCCACAGCATCTTGAAAGTGCCACTTGAGAAAAGCAGATCCAGGTTATGAGCCTTCCTTTGCATACACTGGTTTTTGTCTTGCTAGACTGTAAGCTCTTTGAGGGCAGGGACAAAGTCTCATCACTATTGTTTTCCTGGTACCTGGCAAGAAACAGGTAGACAATTAATACTTGCTGGATGAATGAGCGAACGTCTTCTGGAAGATTCCTTCGATGGGGAGGCCCGATCTTTAATTGGGACATGAATAATTTCTTCACTGGAATAAGAACATGGCAGCCAAATCTTCGAGGACATATTATCTATGATGAACAATTTACTGTGACACTCCTTACTTTGCTTTCTCACCTGGGCTGAAATGAAACCCAAGCAGGTTTTTTTAGTCCCACCAGTCAACATATGTTGGCTGAGGATTCTGTTGCCTTCCTTGGAGCTGTGAGACCTATCTGGTTCAAGACGCCAGTAAATGAATCCTTGACCTATTTTAACCCATGAAGATTATGAATGTGTTTATATGATGTCAGTGGCTATTTAAGCGTAAAACAGTTTTAAGTTTTAGTATTTGGGGGTTGGTTTTTATTTTATTTTATTTTTGAAAAAAAAATACCAAGGGATCTTTTGATAAGGTTAGTAATGCCTATTAGATATTAGTTTTGCAAGTGTGTTGTTTTTCAGTTACAGAAAACATAAGAAAAGGTAAAACAGAGGGAAAAGCAATTATATCATTCTTCTATAGTTAAAAAACAAGCATTTGTTGAGCTCCTACTATGTGCACAGTGTGGAACCCTATGTGAGGAGCTTGCCTGATTATATTTGCTATGATAGTTTCTTGACATGTAGCTGTTTGAGGAATCCTTACTGTTATGAATGAAACAGTGTCATGGTGATCACAGTATCAGAGCTGAATTATGCTCAGCTTTGGGTCTCAGGATTCAGTTTCTGGGATAAGAGATAAAGCCTTTTAAGAAGAAAAAAATCCGTTGAAACTGTGTCTTATAAAATTGGAATATGCAGGCCTTCACATGTTTAGCTGAATTGGGATTAATCTGTCTGTAGCTATCTGCATAATTCATGCTTTTCTTGCCATCTGCCTTCTGGGTTGACATTTTTTTTTTTTTAAACAACCGTACTGGTACTGCCACTATTGTTTTAAAAATCAGAACTCCTTCCCTTTAAACTGCGTTAAATTCAAACTGAGTGTTTCTGTTCTATGAGAGAATTACTGTTTTTCAACATGTGGGTTTGTTTTTGTTTGTTCGTTTGATGGGTCCCAGAAAACACTAATAAAAGCCACAGAGACCAGCCTGTAAATGTGTTCTTTGTTCTTCAACAGGGCCACCCCCAACCGGGCTTAGAGAAAACGGACCTGGTCTGTAGGAGCAGAACACACACAGCTTATTCACTCACTCGATAAGCCCTTATTAAGCATCTCCTAGGTGCCAGACACCATCCTAGGCACTGAGCTATGGCAGAAAATGAGAGACAAAAATACTTGGCTCTCGTGCTGTTTGCTTTATGGGGTAGAAACAGATAAGAAAAAAAAATGCTAACAAAGTAGCATATCAAATGTGGAGTAAAAACACGTAAAGCAAGGAAGGACAGAGAGTGTGGAGCATGTTGGGGTGTATTGCAGTTTAGGTATGATGAAGGGGGAAACATTCAGTAAAGGACTGAAGGATGTGTGGGAAAAGCCTCGCAGATAACTGGAGAAGTGATCTATGCAAGTGCAAAGGTCCTGGGTGTGTGTGTGTGTGTGCCTGTCCATTCCAAGGAATACCAAGAAAGTCTGTTTGCCTGAGCAGACTTGCAATAGTAGGAATTGAGACACTTTGATATCAGACCATATAGAACTTGGAGGTCCTTATGGAAGTGCTAATTTTTCCTTGTACAAGATGAGAGGCCTTAAAGGAATGACACACTCCAACTTTTGGTTCCAAAGTTTCCATCTAGCTGTTGTGTTACGAATGGATTGCAGGAAAGCATAGGCCACTGGGTTGATGTTTTCAGTAAAGGATGAACAAAGGGGGGCTGAAAAGATCACTCTCCCATCCAGGTTTCTAATACAATATTAAATTTGTTCTAGGCAGCAAATGAGTTCTGCCTGTTCATTATGCATTTCTCCCTGGGCCCAGAAAGTCTGTCATTTAGTCACTTCACTTTATAAATAAAAATAATAACAGCTAACCATTGAGGGAAAATTCAAGAACTGCTATGTATACCTTATACGTGTTTTTAAATTTAATCCTCATGAAAGCCTGTGATACACAGATAGAGTCAATATTTTTCAAAGTATGGAAATGAAGTTCAGAAAGATTAAGTGACTTTCCCAAGGTCACACAGCTAGTAATAAGTAGTAGATGGTCTTGGATACTCAGGTCCTTCTTCTTCCACCCCTGAAGTACACATGCAGAC